AAATAAAGTTGGAATATATATATCGGTGTAATTATTATATATATATATACTATACAAAATGAAGTAATGAATGTTTAATTTCTTGTTAAAAGTTAGATATTAAGAAGATGAAAAATTCTATTATATACACTAAGTTCTTTATTTCTATATGAATAATGATAGTTATTATAAAATTTTTTAAAACTAGAACTAAATTCTTTTATTATAAAAAACAATTTAGCAAATTTACATAATTCAAAACCCTTAATTGTAAATCGATATTTATTTTCTTGATCAAAAATATTACCTGTAGCTTCACTAAATCTTTTGTATATTAATAGAATATATTCTATCTTTACTAAATCTTTTAAATAATAAACAACTTTTTCAAAAAAAATAATAAAATCTTTAATTCAAGTATAGTTCCTAATATGAGCACAATGATTATTAATTAAACTAATGATTATATCTATTGTAACGATATGTTTTAAATAATATTGTATAGTTCCTTTTAATCATTCATAAAGAAACGGAAGCACATAATATATCTATTCTTTAAAGTTAGCTATATTATAAGTGTTTTTTATTAAATCATTTGTAAGATTTAAAATCAGATTGTTTAAATCTTTATCTTGCAAATCAAAATAATATGGCATATTCAATGTTTTAAATTTTTTATATTGAAATAAGTATTATATAAAACTTATTTTATTTATATTCAAGGAATACTTTTGTTTAACTATGAACTCTTATTTTATTTATATTTGAGGAATGCCTTTGTTTAATTACAAATTTAGTTAAAATGATTTATTAACTATGGGCTCTTATTTATGTTTGAAAAATGTATTTGATTACAAATTTAGTTAATACAATCTTGACTAAAATCATAATTATAAATAATCATTTTTGCAATTATAATTATATACAAATACGATCATAATCTTAATTGTATATAATCATGATCATGATTGCATCATGACCACAATCGTGATTGTATACAAAAATGACTATAGTAATTATATACAAAAATAACTAGTCATAATTGCAGACAATTGCAACTACAATTATAATTATATATAAATATGATTATGATTATAATTTTAAATAATGAACTATTGATTTATAAGCAAATTAAAAATATAAATTGATGTAAGTTTGCAATTTAAAAAAAAAACAAAAAAAAAATAAAACAAAATATTTAATTCTTCTAAAATTGTAACCAAAAATCAAACTACACATAAAAATACTATAAAATCAGCTCTTAAAATACTTTATGAACTCAATCCTTCTAGTATACGAGTAGCTACATCAAAATTTAGTCTTGCAGAGACAACTCTAAGACATACATTTAAAAAAAATAGTATACCTGACTGTCCTGACCCTGCAACAGTTTTGAGTAGCTATAAAAAAGAACAATTAGTGGTTTATTATATAAATATGCAAAGATTAGATTTTGGTCTTACAAGGTCTGGGATAAACCTTTGCATAATAAATATTATAAATAGTGATGGCTATAATCACCCTTTCAAAGACAATAGACCTAGTAAGGCTTGGTAAACATGTTTTATAAATAAATATTCTAACCTATTTTTTCGAGTATCTCAAGTCTTGTTAGAGGCACATGTGCAAAAAGCCAATCCAATAATTATCAAAGATCATTTTGATAAATTAAATAAGATAATTTAAGAAAACTTACTTACTCCAGATCATATTTGAAATATAGATGAAACCAGCTTCATTATAGTTTTCAAGGTTTAAAAAATTATTGTTACCAAAGACTCTTGCCAAATTCATAAGGTTGCTCATAATAACTTGCATGATCACATTTCTGTAACACTGATAATTTTAGTTGCTAGCAATTATATCCTTTCATTAATTATATTCAAAGATATTTATGTGATTTCTGGTTTGTTAAATAGTACTTCATTCAGTATAGTTATAGGTTTTAGTGAATCAGAATATATACATGAAGAACTCTTTTAAATATATATTAAACATTTTATAAGTTCTATTCCTCCTCATCACCCTGTACTTTTAATGCTAGATGGCCATAGCAGCCATATAAATTATATGAGTATTAATTTTTGTCATAAAAACAGCATTTTGTTATACATGCTTCCACCCTATACAACTCATATTCTTTAGCTATCTGAACTACCTTTTGCAAAGCTCAAAACTAAATATAGTAAAAATTGTAATCAACTTTATTATATAACTAGTGAGTTAGTAACTAAGTATATATTTGCTAAAATGCTTAGTTCTGTGTTTATTAAAACTTATACCACTACAATGATAGCTAACACTTTTAAAGTTACAGGAATTTGGCCTTTTAACCCTAATACTATTAACCTCTATCATCTTGATCCCTTCTATCTACTGAAAGAATTGATATTTTATCTTCATTCTTTTAACAAATTGATTATTCTTCTATACTATCTTTTTTAATATTGTCTTTTTCGACACTATCTTCTTCAATACTATCTTCTTCGATACTATCTTCTTCAATAATGTTTTCTTCTTCAATGTCTTCTTTATTGTTTTTTTTAATGTCTTCTTTATTGTTTTCAAGCCATTTTATACATGCTAGTATTACCAGAGAAAATAAATTATTAGAAGCAAAAATCTATACCCTAAGAAGGAAAAATATGCTACTAAAAAAAGAACTTGAAATGTTTAAAAATCCTGGTACCTGTGTATTAAAACTAGCCTTTAAGTATCCTACTTCTTGAAATTCAACACAGACAAATAAACTAGTATCCAATCAGCCAAAGAAAAGAAAAAACTTCCTCTTTGCCCAACTTCTTACTAATGAAAAATCTCTACAAATATTAAAAGAAATAGACGAGTTAGTGAAGAACAAAGCAGAAAGTACAAAACAAAGAAAAGAGAAGGCAGCTCAGAAATGAGCTAACTAGAAAGCTAAAAAAAAGAGAAAAAAAGAAGAAAATAAGCCAAAAAAAGAACATTATATAAAAAGAGAAAAAATGATCATACGTAGTTATGCTATACTTATCTGTATATGTATTATATAATTCTGTATTACTATGATTTCCAATATTAATTTGACATATCCAATGTGTGTCATAATACCCTTCAAATCTAAAAAACATAGAATTTTATAGATAGATTTTGAAAGCTCATATTTCCATAATTTTTTTTTTAAAAGTGATTTTTTTTTTATTAGTAGATAGATAATTACCTGAGTAATCTATTTCTACAAATTTTAAGAGCAAATAAATTTTTTCTGAAAAGTTTTATATAAACAATGCATAGGTGCGTTATAATACCCCCTCCCTTACAAGAATTACTTGATTTTATTCAGAAAAATAGTACAATATCAAACTATTTTGGGATATTACCTTTTATGAAATCTGATTGGTTGAATCTAATATAGTAATGTATGTAAAATTTGTAAATTATTTAATGCATTATTATCTGATGATGCTGAAATTTGAACTTATTTGTTTAGAGTTAAGTTAGGTGTTAAGGTTAGAGTTCATAATAAAAGAGTATAAGAGTAAATACGGGTTCATATTTTCACAGTATTATCGTCATTTATTATCACATTAAATAATCTCTTCATATTGTTAACTATTTTAAATAAAAAAATTCTAATTTTTCATCATTCATATTAAAATCTAATGACACTATTTTTGTGTAATTGTGTTTATGTAAAAATTGCACTTGGCTATCAATAATACATAATAATACCTAATACTACAATGATCACAAAGAAGATCCAGAAAAAGAATGCGCAACAATTTTTTTCTGTATTTAAGAATGACTAAATTATTCTTCATTTTGGTTTAAACAAATGCTATAAATAACAAGATTATTGAAATTGTTGAAATATTATCACACGGTGGACAATCATTTGCAGGGAATATATGAAGTGAACAATTAATTCCAGATCTTTTTTTGTTCTAAAAAATCATGTTTTTGTCTCATAATATAGATCGTTTTGCTTGTTTGATCAACAACAATGGGCTCTATATGATTATCTCTTCTAATTAGCAGTTTCAGCTTAACATTAGACCTAAAAGCTTACAAAATTTACTGGACATCATGCACAAATAATTTTCTTAAATTATATACAATTAGTTTTACATTAAATATATAAACTTGGGTTTATTCTAGGAATGTCTTTTCTAGTTTTATACTGATAGAAATCTCTAACATAAAGATAAATATTCTATTAGTATTTCCAATTTTTATCAATTGAAATTTGTATTATTTCAAAAAGGAATAAAGGTTTTGAAAGTCTATTATTAATACGTATTAATTTTCAAATTTAAAATAGATAACGGATTAGTACATTGCCATTACAGTTACAAGTCATTCTTATATTTGGTAAGTTACCGATAGGTTTAAATTCAATATAGTTTTATAATGCCTTATGATTTAACTGATTTAAAAGTTAATGAACTTGAAATCATCTGAACAAGCAAAATGCTTTTTCAAGAAAGCCTTAGAAATTAAAGACTTTGCTACATGAAAATTTAGTCTATTAATTTAGATTAACAGAAAAAAAATTCTGACCCCCAATTGAAATTTCGAATGATATTTAATACAAAACGAAAAATCACCTTTGTGTAGTCTTAGTAATTTAAGTGATGTTGAATTTTTAAAAATTTGAGAGAAATTTTATTAAAATAAACTTATTAGACAAAATTAATATTCTTATTGCAATAAGAATTATACTATATATAGTAATATAACTAACAGACTGTATACATAAATCCTATAATAAATATTTAATTAAAAAAGTGATATAAAGATAATAAAACTAAAGTGATAAAAAAAACAGTAAATACAACCGTGATTTGTAATAAAAAATTTTTGAAAACATCTTTAACATTAAATAACAAGCCATAAAAATTATCTTATATAGAGAATAATAATTTGCTCTGTATATCTAAAAATAAAAATTTGATTTAATAAATAATATATTTGAGTATTTATTGAATATTCAAATATTTGAATAATATCAAATTGAATATTTAAATATTTAATTTATTTATTAAATAATTCATTAAACATTCAATAAATATATATATAAGTAAAACTTTTTTTAATTAACTAATTAGAATACAGAATTAGATTTAATAGATTTAATAGATTTAATAGATTTTGTTTTATTTGTATTAAATTAGTTTATAAGTATAAAAAATTTTAATAATTTAATTTATAGGTATATTTATTGCTCACCCGGGGTGAGTCTCACCTCCTATAACAAAATTTGAAAAATGCTAATATCTCAAAATTTTACTAACGTAACCCATTGTGTAACATAATAAAAAAAATGTTCCTCTCGCAATTTTCCCTTAATCTACCCTTAACCCTAACCCTGATTATAACCCTAATATATTAGGTTTCTTTTGGCACTTAGTATTAGGGTGGGTAATTCACCCGGGTGTCAAATAAATTATTATATTACAGTCGTCCTCCTATACAATCACACAGTTGGGCACATAGTAAATTTTTTTCAAAATGTGCTTATATAAGGGTTGTGCTTATATGGAGGTCTTTTTCTTATAAATTAAATCATAGTTTGGCCTAAACATAAATGTGAT